CTATAAAGAGGGCCATAAGGTATGCTGGGACGATGCTAGGAGTGTGGAAATTGAAAGTAACAGCAGGTATAGGAAATAAAGAAATCGGCCCATGTGGTGTGCTTATCCAATCAAATCAGCTAACCCGCTTTGGACATTTCTCCTGCTTGGCTCCACCTTATCAGCAATGACGTTAGAAACTCACGTGGATGATCAGTTTGATCTGACAGACTCTTCGTGGGTTTCTATAAGATTTTAGTCCCGAGTATTCAGTTTTAACTCCACAGATGGCACTAGTGATCGGGAAAAAAATTGTTTTGCAACGCGAAATTCTCCACTTAATCCTATGCGTTGGATTTCATAGTCTGGGTTTGTTAGTTAGGTTTATTGCATAAGATTTTGAACTTCCATTCTATCTTAGTTATATGTCTGTACATGCTTTATCACAATTTTTATTGTACATTTTTCTTGTTATCTCCCTTCGTCATGTCCTGGTCTCAGATATTTGTACAGCTGTAGTTCTGCTGAAATGGGTTGTCCAGTGATAGAGTTTAGTTTTTTCTAAGGGACCTATCAGAGGAGGTATCTCCATTTCCTTCAGCTAAGGACGGAAAGAGGTTTAGTTTTGGAAACGTTGTGTTCTCTACTTCTTTTAGAACACCGGATGATGGACAAAGTCCAAACACCCAGTGAGTCTGAGTGTTGTATGCCATTGTTAGAACCCTATAAGTCGGGTCCATATTACTCGTGCTCGTGTGACTCGCTATGCTCGCGAGTAATGTGGACGATATGACAAGTCACGAGACAAGCAAATTTTAAATTTTTAATTAAAAAACTATATCCAATAAATAAAAATACGACTACAGCCTATACACACTAAGAGTAAATATACGGATCCTCACGCGCCGAAGCCTGGCGAGCAACTGAAATAGTGTGGACGAAGATTTACGAGCACAAGTAAAAGCCAGATGAGACTCCCGACGAGCACGAGTAATGTGGACGCGCCTTTAGAATCTAAGGGAGGAGGAAGGGGAATATAATGAAATTGGAGGACGTAATTTGGAGAAGATTAAGAAGATGAACTAAAACAGAGAGAAGGAAGAAATTGAGCCTAATATAGGACGGAAAGAGAGAAAATTAAGACAAACCATCGGCACCAGAGCGAGAAAGTTGGGCGAAGCGGATATAGGGGAGATAAATATAAAACAGAAGCTAAATAAGAATAAAATAAGGAACGCTAAGCAAGAAAAAGTGAGACACAAAATCCAATATCGAAGGTGTAACGGTTTGTGGGTGTGTGTGGAACGGTTGGTATGCAAGCGAGTAAGGGCAGCCACTCCCATCGTAATCACGCGATAAGCGAAGAGAAACACGCAAGCGTAATGGGACTTACAAAAACCGTCCGATCCATGAATGATCCGTCTCACTGATTCTTCCGGAAGACGTCTTGAGGACCTAGTCGCGAAGAAACTTGATTTTCAAACAGGCTCAACTCCGAATTACTTTTTTTATTTTGTGGTAATTTGATACTCTGTAGAAGTACGCAACCTGTGTGAGAAGCGTTTCGGCTGTCATTTGCGTGACGTGCAGATCACTCCCAGCTTCTTGGAATGAGGACCAAGTAGTATTGGTGGTCATTAAGGCAGACATGTAAGCTAAGGTCAATACCAAATTTGGGCGTTCCTAACGTTAAAATAAATCTGCTATCTCTAGTTATTAGAGCCGAGTTCTGTAGTGGCAAATTAAAATACTAATCTAACTCCATGGAGCTGATTCCTTCTTGAAAAGCTACCCGTTTCTCAGCTACTCAAGAATTTCCTAACAGTTTATGAACCCCGAAAGTTCATTACCGTGTTCATAAGAACCCGCTAGCGAGCAGTAAATTCGTTGTGTTTTATTGGGGTTTACACCATTAGTAGCTCGGCTTAATAAAACTGTCTAAAACAGCATATGTCTTTTATCTGACAGCACAGTAAGAACACTACCACATAAGGGGACAGTAAATAGGAGACAACACAATATAGTGGATAGCAAAATAATGGCATGTGAAACCCTCACTTCATTCTTAAAGTAGGCTTATGTACAGCAGCAAGATGGCAAGAACATCAAATTGCGAATTAGCTGATCTAATTTGCTTTCAAGAATCTTACGTCGAACACTATTAAATATATAAGATTATATTCTATTCTTCTGTCTGGTAATCGTATTTTAGGAGTTTTATGCTTAATTTTCTTCAGCCTAGGTCGTTTATCCAGAGGGCCCGACCAGGTCCGAGGCTTTATGTACATTTTCGTAACAAGCTTATTTTTTAGGGTGATGAGTTGTTGGCTCCACGCCCAACCCTCAAGCTGGAGGAGCACCCTTGTCGGCTGTCCGCGACTGCTTATTCTTTATATTCGCAGCTTCCCTCCATATCTGGATGGCGTCTTCTCCATCCGCAGCCTGAGGACGCGCCATGCCGGGGTGACAAGGGACCCACCTAGTAGCACGAATGGGGGAGAAGAGGAATGCGTAGAGGATAGTGGCGAGAAAGCCAGAAGGAAAGAGACCACTGGGAAGATCAAGGCGTAGGTGGGTGGACAATATTAAATTAGATCTTGGAGAGATAGAATGGGATTATATTGATTGGATTGATCTGGCTCAGGATAGGGACCAGTGGAGGGCTCTTGTGAATATGGTAATGAACCTCCGGGTTCCATAAAATGCTGGGAAATTGTTGAGTAGCTGTAGAATTGGCTCCTCAAGAAGGGCTAAGCTCCATGAATAAGTTTATGCTTAATTAAAACCACCATGAAGGTGAAGTATTTCTGTCGTAACATATAAGGCGACGTTAACGTTTTATATTTAATATAAAAATATGCAGGTGTGTCAGATGGTTTTTATTAATATGAATAAAACAACCACAATAATGACGTTTTTAAAGTGACACAATGAATATCCAAATACCGAGGAAACCCACGAAAATAGTCAGCACAACCAACAAACTGGCCGGGATTCGAAGAAGTCTGGAGTTCCACTGCTACACCTGCGGTTGAGAAAACGTCGTTAAATAAATTACGAGCCTGCAAGTAGCGCTGATAGATCGGTGTAAGCAGTCAGCCACATGGACTCGAACAGGAAACTTTCCGAGATCGAAGGAGAGGGACTTGTAGGTAGGCCTACGTTTCTATGCTCGTGGTCAGATCACCTGTCTGGTATGTGAACTGTGATCCGGGTGGCGCTGGTGTGTTGCGGCCAGCCTCTCGCGCGCTTACCGAGCAGTTCAGTGTGTATGTCGGCCGCGCACAGCCGAAACGTGTGCCAGGAGCGGTGAGAGTGTCCCCCTCCCCCCCAAGAAGTGTGTGCAAGGTGGTTTGGGGTTTTCGTTTGGTGGACAGTGTGAAAATCGTTTGTTTGTGTTTCGTTTAAAACATCTCGATTCAGTGTGATTTTTCAGATTAAAGATTTGTTAGAAAACCTCCGATGTAGATTTATATGAAGACTGATTGATTGATTAATTGATTTAATTGTGATCGTAAGATGGTAGAGACATTTTGCTACTTTCATTAACGTATTTGCGTTGCTTTTGCCCCTAAATTCCTGCAGTGTATTAGTCTGTCTTGGGTTCCTTTGGATTAAGTTACGTGAACAGTTGGCCGCGCCTTTGCTCAAGCGGTTAGTCGCTGGCTTCCCACCGCGGCGGCCCGGGTTCGATCCCGGGGTCTGGTCAAGTGGGATTTGTGGTGGACAAAGTGGCGCTGGGGCAGGTTTTCTCCAAGTACTTCGGTTTCCCCTGCCAATCTTCATTCCACCAATTGCTCCACAATCACACTCACCTATCATCTGGGGCTGGTACAATAGGCCAGAAGTAGCCGCAGTACAAGGGACTTAGTCCCACCCCACTAACAATACAAAAATACGTGAAAAGTTGAAATGATTTAATTCAGTAAAGCTCAGTGGTTAGTATATATACCACCATGTCTAACGTTAGGAAACTGCACTTTGCCCACAGAGTGCATATAAATGCTTCAATTATTCTCAAAACAAAGTCAATTTTTCTCTGATTGGCATATACGAGTAGATCTTTGTAATTGGAACGCAGTGTGTTTTCTGTGACTTCGAAAGAGAATAGAAAGAGGAGTTTTAAATATTACTTAGATGTATTTGAGGCTTCAGGAGATTAAACCATTCCGTAAGGTTTGAAACTAAATTCAGTTATTGATAAAGATGTTCAATTGCGATGGTAAGATTACACCGATATTCCGATAAATTGGTATAAAATATGTTGCCTTTATATACAAATTCTTGCATATTTTATATCTTGTTCGGTTCATTTTCACTAAGTTCTGTGAAAATTTGAAATGGTATAAGCCGTGACATCAGGATTAATTTAGAAACACCAAAGTTATGGCTGCATGAATCCAGATTTGATTGTCAGCATTGCTCTTTCATTTGTTTTGGTAATTATTGATCTACGAATGATGATAGGCTGAAATAAACTGTTTGAGAAGTACAAAATAAAATACCATTTTCTTTTGCTTTCATAATAAGACTTACTAAATAAATATCTAATATTCACTTAATGATAAAAACAATTGTTGGTGACAAATATTTATTTTACTGATATGTAATTCAACGTAACTGTGTATATTTATTTGAGTTCGAACTATTATTCCCGATTTACTATTATTTTATTTATTACTGCATCCTATTTCGCTTCAGTTCAGTGCTACGGATACTGGTGTTTTGTCTATAGTGTTAACAAAGCACATAGGACCTGTAGATGAGGTCTATAATATATTCTTAAGCGTGTTCTTGTATGAGAAATTGTAGTACAGCCTAAATATTTAGATCAACTTTACTAAAAATAATTGAAGATTAAATTTGTGGATAAATGAAATTTCTTATTTTAATCGATACTCTAGCTTCGATTACTGCTCCACGCAATAGCATTATTATTTGTTAATTACATTAAATCATTCTGCTTACGACATGTTTTAGGTCAAATTGTTTTAATCTGCGAAAGAAAAACTCAACAGTTCTCCTCAAATATTTTCACATTTAATTTCATATTCATAAAGGGTTTTTATTAAATTTCTACTTCAGTAATTAAGAGGCTGCTTGCCGTTTCCTCCTTGTGAACGTTTGAACTGATATACGTAATTGCGTTCTTATTATACCTGTACTGTTTTTCATTGACTATGCATACATTGATTTCATCATCGTAATCTTGATTCATCAAATTAAAAAGATTGTTAAGTGTCGATTTAATGAATCGATCAGCAGACTGACTGTTACGCTAACATTAAAGTCCTTTTGGGCAAGCAGAGGCTGGTATTATAAAGTGGTTTATTAATCCATCAGTCAGTATACTAAATTAACCAGACCCACATTGTTATTGCAGTGTAAACACATCCACCTATCGAATTCCCCGTTATTTATATGTGATACTGCATGACGGAAACCGCTGGAACAGGGGGCCTCGCGCCCCAAAATGGGGAAATAATGGAAGATCCCTACAAGAATAATAGCGTGGGTGGCGAAGTGTACAGACCATTGCCGCCGACACCGACAAACTCCCTGAAGATGTCATCGATGGAGGAGGAAAGCGTTCGGGACAGGCTGAGGACTTCTCTGTTGAAACAGTGTTCCGACATTCTGAAAGCGGACGGAGCGACTCGATACACTCGCGATGCCTTCAGGAGGCTGTTTCAGGACAAGGTAGGCCCTCCGTGAACCGCGGCCCGTTATCGTAGTCACATAACATATAGGACTAGCAGTGATGAAATGTTTTAGTCTAAAGCTCTGTCGTGTTTGTTCATCTCCCTCCAAAAGAACGGGTTCCTTAAAGACAGTTCCATGGTTAAACTGAGATGGTATTTCGCTGTATCTTCTTATTTCTCTTTCCTCCGGGGTAAAATGTGTAGTATGTGACTTCAGGGGTCCTGTATTCTTGTATCCTGTCCACGTGTTTGGAGATTAGCCCTGTAAAACACAGTGGTTACTATATGTACCATAAGTATTCTTGCATTCTATCCATATGTTTTGAGTTTAGCCTTATAAAACACAGTGGTTACTATATGTACCAAATGTATTCTTGCATTTTGTCCATATGTTTTGAGTTTAGCTATATAAAACAGTGGTTTTAGTCCCCAAGCGAACTATACCGACCGAGCGACCGCCGCTTGTCGGCGGGATGTTAGTGCCAACTTTAGCGGATAGAGGGTGTCTCGTGGTCAGCACAACAAATCCCCACGGCCGTTAATTTCGGTTTTATAGCCCGGACATATATATATTTCATAATTCCATGCACACTTTATACAGTGTTTTCGGGGTGCTACGAATCGTTTATTTAAAATGTCGAGAAATAGCAGAACGTGTTTAATTTCGTAGATTTCAGTATAATAATACAGGAAAGAAAGACCGATTTGAAAATGATAACCATTCGCAGCCTGGGAAGTGTTAAAGAGTAAATTTAATTGTGGCCCCTGAAATGTACGACAGGCATCCAGTCCCACGAACCCTCATACCCAACTCAGTCCATAAGCACACAGACTAAGTGCGAAGGGGTAGGCCTCGTGTTTCCATTGCTCCGTTATTTTTAACCCTGATTGCTCATACAGCGGCTCCTTGTGTCTGCAATCCGGGCCTGTAGACCACTTCATCCTAGCAGTACCTCAAGGATATCTAACTGAACTGTATGGAATAAGGATATTTCTCAGCACAATTTTCATCCTGCTTGAACCAAAAATATGTATAATTATTATCTTCAAGGTTTCAATGATTTAAATATGTACATTTTAATTTTACTTACTTACTTACTTACTTACTTACTCATGGAATTGAGCCCTTCTGGAGGAGCCGCCAATTCTGCAGCTACTCAACAATTTCCCAGCATTTTATGGAACCCGAAGGTTCATTACCGTTTTCACAAGAGCCCTCCACGGGTCCCTATCCTGAGCCAGATCAATCCAATCAATACCATCCCATCCTATCTCTCTAAGGTCCATTCTAATATTGTCCACCCACCCACGCCTTGGTCTTCCCAGTGGTCTCTTTTCGTCTGGCTTTCCCACCAATATCCTATACATTCCTCGTCTCCCCCATTCGTGCTACATGCTCTGCCCACCTCATCTTCCTTGACTTGATCATTCTAATTATACTTAGAGAAGAGTACAAGTTGTGAAGCTCCTCATCAGTACATTTTAATTTACTGATGTTAATTTGGAATTTCTTACACGTATATGTTTGGGGTAGATAGGTTTTTTTTTCCTTTGGCGCTACAATCCAATTTGAGCCTTGGCCTACCTCCATGAAACTCTTCATTCCACTTCGGTTTACTAGATCATAGATATTCGGTAGGACACCTTGGACTGGTGATCAGCTCGTCCGAGGCCTCTACCTGTACAGAAACACAGGAAAAGGCACATACACACACAGACACTAATCATTCGTACCCTGAGTGAGTCTCGAACCCACGATCTCGGCTTCCCAGCGAGCGAAGACAGTGCATTCTTTAGACCGCTCGGCTACCGTGACCAGTCATAGATAGGTTTACGTTGTATAAATATTACTGTGGCATCGATTAATCGAAATACAAATATATTCATTATAAATACGTTCATTCGGTACTGGCCGTGGTGCAGCAGGAAGCCAAATTGTGCTGTTAAAGTAAGGAAACATTACCTAATAGTAGTTATATTACACATTATTTATATCAAGTAGGATCATATTCATATTAATAAAACTCACATACAGACTGATGTGGTGAATAATTAAATCTACTCCAATGTTAAATCCAATGAGATACTGTAATCGCTCTGTGTCTCTTTTGGTTGACGCTAACCTAGTTATGGTCGGTTAACTTGACAGTACGTTCATAATAGTATCCCTAAAAGACTACCGTAGTTTTAAAATATTTTTTCTTACCGTTAAAGCAAAGTTAAATTTAGGAGACAGATATTATGCGCTGGAAATGTTATAATTTTTCCCACGTCGGTATTTTCTAGTGCCGCCATTTTGTACTGTAGACTGTAGAGATTTAGTAAGGGTACGTATTACGTCATTCATGAAAGTCTGTCATTTCATTCGATAATTATTAGAGGCACAGGCACGCAAACGTGGTGATAGCATACGCCTATTTTCTTGGGAAAATAAGGATTGTATGTTGAAATATAAACACCATTGAGAAGATTGCTGCTTTGTGGGATATATGACGCCGGATAATGTAGTAGAGAAATACTAGCGTTCGTCCGAAACTTCGGTAAACATCTGCCAGACTACACAACCTCACATCCCAATAAACTATATTCTTTATAGAACCTAAAATTTGGCATGAAATAAGACTATAATCTCCTCCTCTAAACTGTGAATAACGTGTTGTCCAAACATAAATAAGCCTAAGATATAACAGCCAAAGTGATCCAAACATCCGAGCACCCAATTCGCTGGTAATCTTGCACCGTGCTTGTGAGAACCCGTCTTCTCTTCCTGCTACGAAGGTGTGCTCTCCTGATTGAGGTATTTGTTAATTTCCTTATTATTCTCATTAATCCACCTTGAAATAGGCCTTTACAACTAAATTCAAGATTCTCCCCTTCACAATTTACATTTCATGCAGCATGTGCACGTGATAAAGCGTCTGTCCAGAACAGTCGCCAGTCACATCTATTTTTGGGGTCAAGATGTGTGGATCTGGAGCTTCCCCCTTACGTCTCAGTGAGGCCGCGCCATAGCTCAAGAAGAGTACAAGTTGCTTCCCACCGCGGCGGCCCGGGTTCGATTCCGGGTTTGGTCTAGTGGGATTTGTGGTGGACAAAGTGGCACTGGGGCGGGTTTTCTCCGAGTACTTCGGTTTCCCCTGCCAATCTTCATTCCACCAATTGCTCCACAATCACCCTCACCTATCATCTGGGGCTGGTACAATAGGCCAGAACTGGCCGCAGTGCAAGGGACTTAGTCCCACCCCACTAGCAATAAAAAAGGTCTCAGTGGCGTGATGATTAACTAAATAAGCCAGGACACAGCTTTACTTTTATCATCTGAATGAAACATTGAAAGAAAAATAGGGAATTTGGAGAGACGATGGATATATGGGATGCGGGGAATTGGACAGAAAGGAGCCTCACAGTACGTATTTAATACTTCACACTATTATATTTAGAGTCAAATTATGTCATGAAGAATTAGACAGGTAAAATATATACTTATTTCCATGTATATTTAATCCTTTAAATGGAGGTGGTGCTCATATATATACCGACTGGTTTAACGTTGAAAAACTCATTTCACTGAAAAAGTGTACGCCAGCTTGGTAGTATCAGTTGGTTCTCGGAATAAATAGGGACTTCCCTTAACTGAATTATCTTCGAAGTAAATATATGGCGATTTTCTCTGATGTAAGAACTAACCTTTCTTATATTATTCTGACCAGTTTCCACTTTAAAGAGCCGAGGGGAGGGAGGAAAATAACAGAAGACCCAATTTACTGTAATCGTTTTCAGGTTTCTTCACTTGCTTGATGCATGTTCCTGTAGTCTAAGTTTCGCCGTGTCCGCTAGGGGACGTACAGAACTGCGATGCCTGGAGCTGACACTAAGCTGTTTGGTACCTTTCTTTTGAATGGGTCGCACAGTGAACTGCACTGAACTTCATCTGACCCATATACGTACTGACACACTGAGTGGTATACACACTCACTGTACGTACGTTGTGGTAGGTTACGGTCCATGTCTGAAGTCATGGCTAGAAATACAATTTGCTAACTGAACCATCCTACTTTCTGTTGTGAGCTGCCCGCATTACAAATATGTCAGAGAAGTTGCCTATGGATCACGGAGTATCAGCAGGGTTGTTACGGAGTAACTTCACTACTCATTCGTCGTGCAGATCTTCTTGAAAAGATAGTAGTTACTCAGCTGGTCAAGTTGTTCCTTTTTCTGGAACCCGAAAATCATCCTTACATTCATAAAAGGCAGCCATTGGTTCTCATCATTCCACACAGTCACACTTTGTTTCTCTAATATCAATTCCATATTATTCTCCCGTCTGTGCCTATGCATTCCAAGCGTCTACTTCTTTCAGGTTTTCCTACCGTAGAGTTCTGTACATATATACAGGGTGTTTCACGACTTTAGAGCATAACTGCAGAAGGCGATTTCCTAGGTCTTTGTGATCAAAAAAGTTCATATAAACATGTGTCCGATTTTGACGGTTTCTGAGTTATGACCGTTTCTTCATTCCCGTACACGCCATCGTGTGAACAGCATTTGTCAGCTGGCGGGTCACTATTTTTAACCAGCTACAGACAGAGCGTTCTCGTTATCTCGACACTTGAGAGCTACCTAAGGCGTGGTGGGTTGGTATGTCTGGCGCGGTTCACAACAGAGCGGCAGCCTGTATTGCGGCCGGCGGTGGCATTTTCGAAAATCAGCTTTAAGCACTAATAAATTCAAATTAAAGGTAATTTCACGAAGTTAACTCTGCATTTATACTTTAAATGTATCATGTATTATGCCGGTTTATTGTTTTGTTCCGTTTATTGTCAGTAATCGTTACATGCTATTCTGAGTTTAAAACGGTCATAACTCCATAACCGTCCAAAATCGGACCCATGTTTATATGAATTTTTTTTATCACAAAGACCTAGGAAATCACCTCCTGCAGTTATGACCTAAAGTCGTGAAACACCCTGTATATATATCACCATCTCAACATATTTT